TAACTCCTTTCGAGAAAATTCCATCCAAGAGGGAAACAATGCACTTGGAAACAATGCTCCTTTCTAAAGCACAACATATTGGGTTTGACTTTAAACCTTTCATCAGGGGGAGCTCTGGTGGCCTAGTGGCAAGAAACTGCACTGCAATCCCAGAGGCGTACGGTTCGAATCCACCAGATGCTCTGCCGGAGGAGGCGCAATATCCTCCTGTACCAGTCAGATCTGATTTGACGGTACACACACACAAAATAAAAAAAAAAATTTAAAAAAAAAAACCACCTTTCATCAAAGTTCACATTCCTACAGACCTTTAATAAAGCATCCGAGAAGATGGAGCTTGATCTGAATGAACAAGACGGGGTGGGGGGTACCTCAAAAATTTATAGCCACAGTTCCTACATTACAGGGAATATTGATCTGGGGGTAGATCACAGCTTCGTGGCACCATTTTTTTCCTACATGATGGAAGACACTGAGAGCATGAGAACATGTACTCATGCATGTAAAGCCAGGACTCCCTGTGGTCTGGGGATTAATGAACACTGTAATGGCTAGCCAAAACCAGAAGTTCAAGTCCACGTAAGGGTGTCTCAGAAGAATGGTTGTTGTTTGCTTTTAGAAACTCAGTCACTGCCACCCAAGCAGACATATACACACTCATGTTTATCATGGCTTTGTTCACAATAGCAAAGAGGTGGAAACAACGTAAGTGCCCATCAACAAATGAATGGATAGAGAAACTGTGCTATAGTCACACAATGGAATACTACGCTACCTTGAAAAGCAAGGAACTCATGAAATATTATACAAAATGGGTGACCCTGGAGGACATTATGCTGACTGAAATATCTCAGTCACAAAAAGACAAATATTGCATAGTGCCACTGTTGTAAAATGGGACTGGGGGTAACTTAAGAAAAGGGGATAAATAATGCATACTGCATTGAAACAGATGAGGGAGAGAACTGTTTAAAAGGGATATATGATTAGGTATTATTTTCATGACAGGAGTTCAGAATAAGAGATGCATAGTACAGTGTACTAGGTGGGGGGAGGACTGTATACTAATTAAAGAATTTTTTTTTCTCTTCAAGGAGAAGAGTGAACTAAGAGGTGGGGTGGGTAGGGAGGAAAGTGTGCAACAATGTATGAATGGAAATCCAAAGTCTCTGTAAACTTACATTAAAATTTTTAAAAAAGGACAAATACTGTGTAGTGCCACTGTTGTAAAATGGGACTGCCATAGGGGTTTGGGGAAAACTGAAAAAGACAGGATAAATTATGTATACTGCATTGAAACATATGAGAGAGAGAACTGTTTAAAAGGGATATATGATTAGGTAATATTATCATGACAGGAGTCCAGAACAAAGGCTGCACAGTGGAGTGGACTTGGGGGGAGGAATTGTATAACAATGAAAGAATTTTTCTTTTATTTTTCACAGAGAAGAACAAACTGGAGGGGAAGGGTGGCCATGGAGAAAAGTGCAACAATGAATGAATGGAAATATAAAATCTCTGTAAATTGTCATTAAAATTAATAATAATAATAATTTTTTAAACTACAAAACCAAAATAACTCAGTCACTATAAACCTTACAGAGCACAGTTCTCTTCGGATACCCATGGAGTTGCTGCCAGTCACAATAAGTTCAACACAACAAGTTTGGGGTTTTAGATATAAAAGAAATAAACCAGTACAAAGAACCATCCTCCTATTCTGGGTTTTAGAGAGGCTTCAGAACCTGGCCACCTCATCCTAACCCACGTCTTCCTGCAACTGCTGTCAGAGCCTGGATGAGTTTGAGAAATTTCCTGGGCTTTAAGTTCAGCACCAGGCTTTCTTATATAGAGTGATCTCAGCTCCCAAGATCCCCCTGTAACCCGTGTCATTCTTCTTAGAGATTGGCAAGGTCTTCACACACTACAAGGAACTCTGGTGGCATAATGCAAAAATATCAGGCTGCTAACTGAAAGGTAAGCAGTTTGAATCCACTAGCTGCTCCAAAGGAGAAAGTTGGGGAGCTCTGGTGGCCTAGTGGTAAGAAGCTGCACTGCAGTCCCAGAGGTGCGTGGTTCAAATCCACCAGATGCTCTGCCGAGGAAGGAGGGACAATTTCCTCCCGTACAAGTCAGATCCGATTTGACGGTACACACACAAAATAATAATAATTAAAAAAAAAAAAAACAAAGGAGAAAGTTGGGCAGTTTCCACCTAGAAATATTTACATCCTCAGAAACCCAATGGAGGGTCGTTAATGACTAGAAATCAACTCAACGGTAATGGATTTGGTTTCTTTTTTCCCAAAGGCAGGCAGTGTGACTCCACCAGCTACTTCCTGAGAGAAAGATGGGCAGTCTCCTCCGGGGTGATTTACAGCCTCGGCAAACCCACTGGACGGTCAGCGATGAGTGGGTTCTGATTTGATGGCACACAACAACAATGATGACGGCATGGCAGATGTGCAGAACAGTGGAGAAGCTGTTAACCTTACATCAAGATGTAAAAAACTTTCCAGAAAACCTGGGCAAGAGGCTGAGAGAAGCCACAGTGAGCTCTGGGTTAGCCTTTAAGAGCAAATGACTTTAAACAGCACTTTGGGACAAAGATGTCATTGACTGTGACCCCAGATTTACTGCACTGGCCATAGAATACAGTAAATAACCCCGGTGTGGCCGTGGGTGGGTAAAGGGCACACACCAATTACACAGATGAACAAGCTCGTTATTCAACAAGGAAAAAGCAAGGACTTCTGAGTTCAGGTGAGACGCGGCATCTCCTTCTGAAAAATCAGCCACTGGAAAGGTGCGTGGAGGACACATCTCTACCCTGACACACCTCAGGTTCCCCAGAGTAGGGGCTATTGAACGGCAACTGGTCTATCAGCCAAGAGTAAAACGTGGAGCATCCCTTCTTTACAAATTACAGGCTTCAATGTGGATTAAGGCTCAGTATCAAGAAGACTCTCACCACTGGGCCAACTGGCAGCATCAGGATGGATGGTGAAGAGATTGAGATTGCTAACAACTTTAGTTTGCTTGACTCCACGGTCAACACTCTTGGGATCAGCAGCCAGGAAATTAAAAGACATATTGCCATGGGAAAGTCTGCTGTTAGAGACCTCTCCAGGGTACTGAAGAGCAATGGTGTCACTCTGGAGACTAAGGTGCACCTGATATGAGCCATGGTCTTTGCAATCACTTGGTATGCATCAGAGAGCTGGAAAATGACTAGGGAGGACAGAAGGAGAATTGATGCCTTTGAGCTATGGTGCTGGAGAAGAGTACTGAATGTACAATGGACTGCCAAGAAAACAAACAGATTCATTCTGAAGAGGGTTAAACTGGGCTGATCCTTGGAGGCACGGATTCTGAGGCTTCATCTGACATATTTTAGATATGTAGCAAGGAGGGACCCGTCCTTGGAGAGGGTCATCATATTTGGGAGGGTGGAGGAACAGCAAAGGAGGGGAAGACCCTCTATGAGGTGGACTGATTCAGTCACTGGGGTAATCGTGGTGGGTGTGTCAGAGGCAGTGAGTTTGGCACAGGACAGAGCAGAGTTTAGGGCTATTGTACATAGGGTCACTATGAGTCGCAGGTGATTTGACGGCACATAACAACAACAACAACAACAACAAACATCCTTCTCACTTGATAGGGTTTGGTTAGTTTGGTTGTTTGGAGAGCAGCAGTAGGGATTCTGTGCCCAGAAATGTTTTTGTCTTCAGAGTTTCTGTAACTGTTTTTCCGAGTTCGAATTACTGCTGCGGAGTCTCACACCCCTGAAGGCTTTGTAGTTCTCGACTCTCTATCTACCTGTTGAGTTTTGCTAAGTGTGGTGTGCAGGTTTCAGACTGTCTACTGCTCCACTCCTTTCAAATGTGGCTTCAGAAGCAGTAAAAACGCCATCTAAGACTGTTCCCCGGCTCCCTGACTTGGGACAACTCGAGCCGGTTAGAGTTTTATCTCATGTCGTCAAACTCATACAAACTGAAACCCTGAAATAGGTGCCGGGGAACAGGCACGCTTTCCCCACGATGGCTTCCGTGTGGTTTTTGACAGTTGCTGTTGTGTGCCATTGAGTCAGAACCGACCCGCAGCCGGCCCTTCAGTGAGGTTTCAAAGGCAGTAAACTGCACAGGAGGAGACTGTCCATGTTTCTTCCACGAAGCATTTGGTGGATTTGAACCATGTGCCTTTGGTTTGGCAGCACAACTTCTTACCTCTAGGCCACCAGAGCTCCCTCCTCAATTTGGCATTTAAAAAAAACCCAAACAAACAAAAAACAAAGAATCAAAACAACCCCAAACAACTCATGCCATCAAGTTGATTCTGACACCAAGCGATCCTCCATTGGGTTTCTGAGGCTATAAAATCATTTTCTTTTCTTGATTTTCATGTATTCATATACACTGTGCTTCATTCATGTACACTGTGTTTTTGTTATTGTTGTTATGTGGCGTGGAGTCACCTGCAACTCATAGCGACCCTATGTACCACAGCCCTAAACTCTGCCCTATCCTGCGCCAATCTCACCATCTCTGACACACCTACCCCCATTACCGCGGTCACTGAATCAATCCTCCTCATCGAACGTCTTCCTCTCCTGTGCTGTGTTTTATACAATCATTATGTACATTGTGATTTATTGCCTAAAAAAACCCACTGGAGGGTCAGCTATGGGCCAGTTCCAACTCAACAGCCGGCAAACAACCTCAACTTTGCTTCAGCGGGGAGTGGCAAGGGAAATATGAATAAATATGAATTTAGTAAAAGACCTATATAAAAGCCGGTGCCTTTAGGCAAAAGAACCTTTCAAATTGTTGCAATATGTTCATTACCATCGTGTTCCGTTTCTTTTGCACTGCTGACATTTTCAACATCATTTTGACTGGAAACTTTTATACCCACGTTTCCCTATTCCCTAATGACATAAGAAGAGAAAAACACGCATATTATTCTAAGCATTGGTTTTTGACGACACAGATCCTAAATACCTGTAGTGGTGCATTCGTAGTCAAAGCTGGTCACCTCATTGAGCTTCTTTTCCTGGTACTCCGGGGGACCGGTACACAGGACATCAGAAACCGTGGAATTCGTCATCTTCAACCACAGATACAACCACTTGGCCTTGCAATCACACTCGAACTTATTGCCCCTTAAATCGCTACAAAGCAAGACAGATCACAGACAGACACACACAGAGACACAGGTCTGTTTGGAACCGCTTGGCAGTTCTCTGCAACTCCAGGGTTGCCAACAGCTTAAGATATTTAACAGCCCACAAAAACCTGAATAGCTTTCTATAATAATGTGGTATCCAAAGCATTCTAATTCCTGCACTTGCTACTGACCTTATTTCATGCTCCTTGGAGCCAGGATGCTAAGTTGTGAGCAAGCGAGAGTCCTAATGTGTCCCAACCCTGTCACATTGCTACTTTTTCCAAACTCGCTTACAAGTGTCACCACGTGGGGCTGAAAAAAAAGTGGGTAGGCAGGTGACAGAAGCCACCTTCACACACAAGTTCCCAGAAACTAAATAGATTATCACAGGACGGTACCTTCCACCTGGACAATGGAAACCCTAAGATCTTGGTAAACTATGTCCAGAAATGGCAAGGCAAATGCTAGAAGAAAAAACAGAGGTGCTATGTTGGGCAAGGGGCACCTTCTGCCCAGCCGGCCCAATGTACGCCTCCCTAGCAAGAACAGTAAGTATAAATGGCAAAAGTCAACACCATGCCAACTGTAAGCTGTTTCCCAGCATGCACTGTTCTGTTACAGAATTCCAGAATTTCCAGGAAAGCTAGGGGTGTTTGGGGAGAGAAGAAGCAGAGGCAGCACTTAAAGCGCTGATTAACTGGGACACAAGGACCATGCACAGAAACTTAATTTTCATTACTTACAGTTCAATCAGAGAGTCTAAATCACTGAAGACGTCCCTGGGGAGGGCTTTGATGTGGTTATTGGCCAAAGAACTAGAACGAGAAAGTTACATCGTAATGTGGTTATTATATCTTCATGCCCTGCCACTCTGATGTTCCTTAAACAAAGCTAATGATTTAAAAACAGAGCCCTGAGCTTCTCTGTCACAGCACGGTTCAGCTTTGGCCATTCACTGCGAGGAAAGAAATGGGTTCACTTATGACACAGAGAGACAGTACCAGTGCTAGGAATGTGATTTACTGTTTGTCTTTGATTTTTAGACAGCATTGCTTAAGTTCTTTTGTTGTTGTTGTCAGATGCCATTGAGTCAAGTACAACTCTCAATGATCTTATGAATAACAGATTGGAACCCTGTCCTATCCGGTGCCATCTTCACATCTCTGGCACACTTGAGCCCATTGCTGCAGTCACTGTGTCAATCCACTTGCTGATGGTCTTCCTCTCCTTCACAGTCTCTCCACCTTTCCAAGCATAATGTCCTTTTCCAAGGACTAGCCTCTCCTAGCAACATGCCCAGAATATAGAGCAAAGCTTCACCCTCCTTTCTTCCAAAAAGCAATAATCTGGCTGCACCTTTTCCTAGACACATCTCTATTTTTTTTGGCAGACCATGGGACAATTCAGTACCCTCCTCCAAAACCAATGGTGTTGAACACTCTGAACTCCAACAGTTCAAAGGCATCAATTATTCCTCTGTCATCCTTATTTACTGTCCAACTATCAGGAGCATAGCAAGTGATTGAAAATACCATGGCCTGAATCAGGCACACCTTAGTCCTCAAACTAGCATCATTTCTCCTCAGCAGTTTGGATAGCTCCCTGACTACCTTCTTTTCCAGTGCAATATGTTTCTGGATCTCCTGAAACTACTATCATTCTCTCTATAGATTGGCTAAATCTCAGAAAGTTTCCTGGGTTATTAATACCGATTCAAACCAAACCCACTCCCATAGAGTCAATTCTAACTCAAGAAAACCCTCCAATGAGCATATAAGTTATAAATCATTATAGGAGAAGACTGCCACTTTTCTCCTGCAGAATGGACAGTGGATGTGCACTGGTGACCAGAAGCTCAACATATCAAACTTATCAGGGTGCCATGGATTATAAGCTAAAAAGTCCATCTGATGGCTTATTAGACTGGCCACTATCTACTCTGCTTCCCCCTTACTTATGGGAGCACATGTCTAAGCACTCGAACGAACCCCGCAAGCCTCCTTCCTAATCCCCAAACAGTCCAGAGATGTGCCTACTCTGTTATGGACTGACTTGTGTCCCCCCAAAATGAGCATTAGAATTATAGTTGCAACCCTGTTTGGGAAAGGTCACCTTGTTATATTCATAAAGACTTATCAATGTTACAGGAACGATTTCTAAATACAGCAAGTGAAGAGACAGAAGAAAACTGAAACTGGGGTGATAGAAAGATGTTCAAGGAACATGGGGGGCCACCAAGGCTACAAAAGGTGGACGACACAAGGGTCTCCCTAGGACTCAACACAGAGAGTGAGCTTCCCCCCAAAGCCAGTGCCCCAAATCATGACGTCTATTCTCCTGAACTGTTAGAAAACGAGATCTTGTTCTTAAAAGTTATCCACCACTGTTGTAGAAGGAGGCTAACACTGGGGTAGGGGTAAGACTGAGAAAAACTGGATAAATTATGTTTACTGTATTGAAGCTGATGAGGGAGAGAATAGTTAAAAATTAACATATTTTAGGGCATTATGATTATCATAAGAGTCCAGAATGAGGGTTGCAGAGTGGAGTATACTTGGGGTGGGAGTGGGGATGTGCGGGGTAGGGGGGGACTGTGTACCAATGAAGGAGTTTTTCTTTTGCTTTTCAAGGAGAGGTACGAACTGGGGGTGGGGGGTGGGGGTGAGTGGGTGGGGAGAAGGGTGCAACAATGAGTGAATGGAATTCCAAAATCTCTGTAGATGTTCATTGAAATTAATAATAATAATTAAAAAAATCAATAAGTAAAAAAAAAGTTATCGACCTGTGCTGGTTCTGTTAGAGCAGCACTGAGGTATCCCAGGGATGGCCAAAAGAGCAAACGAATCTGTCTTGGATTAAGGGAAACCAGGGTGCATCGGAGAGGCCAGGAGGGCGAGACTTTCTCTCACATTATGGTATGCTGGCAGGAGGGGCCAGGCCTTGGTAAAAAGACATCCTGTTGAGGAAGGCAGAGGGACAGGAAAAGGGGAGAAGATACTCAAGGAGTTGGATTTACAGTGTTTGCAACAATGGGCTTGATCACAGACGAGATCATGGGGAAGGTACCGCGTGGGGCGAGGGGCCAGCCTGTTGTTCACATGATTTGCTATGAGTCATGGTTGGCTCAATGGCACCCAATGACAACAAGGAACTAAGACAGCCTCTGAACTTAGAGCTCTGCTGCCTAAAGTTCTCTTACTCCTAAATGCACACGTCTTCTTCTATTTCCTCCTTCAGCTCTTTCCTCAACCGTCACATCCTCCAGAGACCTTCCCTGCCTACTGTCCTTCCTTCTGTGTCATCTCCATGTCCCTGCTGCTACTCAGCATACAACAGAGTCCAATCATCTCTTTATTGGTTGTATACACTATAGGGTCTGGGTAGTAGAAACTGGTAAGTATTTGACAAGAAATCAAAAGGTTGGGAGTTCAAGCACATCCTGAGGCTTCTTGGAATAAAGGCCTGGTGACTTATTTTCAAAAGGTCACAGCTTTGCAAACTGTACGGAGTTCTATTCTGAGTGTTCTATTCTGACATAAATGGGTTTGCCGTGAGTGAAAGTTAACTCAACAATCACTGTTTGTTGCTGTGACACAGTGACACACTGAAAGATTAACAGTTCTAAGCCAGCAGCTAATTCATCTTTCTGCTCTACAGAAACCCAGTGGAGAGGTGCTAAGAATAAACTTGCAGGCACATAACAACAACATACTTTTAAGGTGCGCCTAATACATTCCATGGTCTTTGCAATTACTTGCTATGCCTCAGAGAACTGGAAAATGACTAGGGATGATAGAAGGAGAGTTGATGCCTTTGAGCTGTGGTGCTAGAGAAGAGTGTTGAATAGACCATGGACTGCGAGGAGAACAAACAAGTTCGTCTTACAGAGGGTAAAGCCAGGCTGCTCCTTTGGAGGCAAGGATTCTGAAGTTTCATCTGACATACTTTGGACATGTTGCAAAGTGGGATTAGTCCTTGGAGAGGGACATCATGCTTGGGAGGATGGAGGGACAGCACACAAGAAGAAGACCCTTGATGAGATGGATTGACTCAGTCACTGGGGTAATGGGGATAGGTGGGTCGGAAACAGTAAGATAGGCAAGGAATAGAGCAGGGTTTAGGGTGGTTGTACATAGAGTTGCTATCAGTCTCAGGCAACTCAACGACACGTAACATTAACAATATACTTTTGTTAAATGAATGAAGTACCAGTAAGAGAAAAAGCAAAGAAAATGGAGAGTCCTGTCTCAAGAAGTTCTCGAACATTCCATCTGAGTGAGTCCTACTAACTTAGACCCTGAGGAAGGATGCGGTGACCTATGCTTTTATGTAAGAGCGCTCAATGCTCTCACCCTTCATGCAGATATAATAAAATCCGAATTAACAGGAATGCTTAGGGAATGATTTCTCATGATCAATTCCACTTTCCCATTAATGACAGTTGACCAGAAACCATTGTGCGTTTCTGCTTAGTGCTGCAGGTCTTTCTTTCAGGAAGTGGACAACAATGAGCATGAGCGAATCTCTCTCTGATGATTCAGCGTTTTGCAGCGCTTGGTCACCCCCTTGCTGAAAGTGGCTGGCAACTGTGCCGGGCTGGTGACGTGGAAAGATGCTGGGTGCCGAATGGCAGGCCACAAACACAATGATTTCCCACAGGCACTGGGCTTAAGTCAGGAATACCAACAAAACTGTAACAATAGGTAGACTCAGACTGCTCTTTTTTGCTTTACCCAGAAGAGAGCAAACAACAGAACACAGATGGCAAACATGCATGCTTTTCAGCCCAATGCTCTCTTTAGGTACCATTATTAACAATTGTCAGGAAATGGGAGATGTATTGGACCTGGAATGTCTGCAGTCAGGGACCTCTCCAAATTCTTGAGGAGTAATGATGTCAGTTTGAGGACTAAGGTGCACCTATCTCCAGCCATAATCTTTTCAGTCACATGCTATGCACCTGAGAACTGGACAATGAATAAGGATGACAGAAGAAGAACTGATGCCTTTGAACTGTGGTGTTTGAGGAGAATACTGAATATCCTATGGACCATCAAAAGAAAACAGATGTCTTGGAGAAGGTGCAACCAGAGTGCTCCTTGGGGGCAAAGATGATCAAACTTCATTAACGATGCTAAAAACACACTTTGTACATGTTGTTAGCAGAATTTATTCCTTGGAGAAGGACCTCATGCTTGGACCCTCAACCAGATGGACTGACACAGTGACTGCAGCAAGGGCTTAAATGTGTCAGAGATTGCGAGGATGGCACAGGATAGGACAGGGTTCAGGTGTGTTGTTCACAGAGTTGTTATAAGTTGAGGACTTACCTCGGTAGCACCTAACAACAACAGCAATGAAGAATGAAAACTTGTAAGAGGGAAACTCTTGCCTCATTCTCACAGAACATTTGTTTTACACTCAGGATAAAACATCTCAACTCTCCTTCGCTTTATCTGCACATTCCTGGCACGCACTTCATCTCTAAAACAATACAGCAGTTCCCTGTCCCATAGGCTTTATCAGCCAGCCAGAAAACAAATGTTCTAGATTTCAGTTACAGATTAGCATAGCTCCTTCGATGTTCTGAGCCTGGCCTGTGCTTCTTTACAGATGAAAGGGAGTCTGCAGGTGCTGGGAATGCTGATAAAAGATCAAATCCGATAATGTGTTTAGAGCAAAAGAATTCTGAGTATAAATTAACTCACTACTGTCCAGTGGGTCCAACTCAAAACCAACTTGCCTCTGGTCTCAAAGGCTGGAAATCGCAACAGGGGAGGACTTCTTACCTTTCCCCCGCTGCAAGGCGATGCTGGTGGATTAGAACTAGCAGAGACGCTCAGCCTTTGGATTACAGGGCAGCTCGTAACTGTCTGTGCCACCAGATGTCCTTAAATTCCTGGTGGGGCTGCTGGGTCAGAAGTGACTCATAGCTGACCCTCCCTCCCTCCGGCAAGTGCTCAAAAGCAGTGACTCGAAGGGGAGGAGACTGTCTGCCTGTCTCCCACAGAGCAGCTGGTGGCCTCAAACTGTTTGCCTTTGGGACTGCAGTGCAGCTTCTTAACACTAGGCTATCAGAGCTCCCTACAGCGGCATCCTTACACAGGCGGGTGAACATCTGAGAGCTGATGGCTTATATTTTCCTTGCTGTTAGTGGTTACAGAGATCTCAACTCATCGTGACCCACGTTCAACTGAACCACCTCTGCCTGGTCCTGCTTCAACCCCAGGATTGGTTGCAGATGAGATCCGTGTGATCCTGAGAGTTTTGTCAACTGATTTCCAGAAGTCAACTGCCAGGCCTTTCTTCCTAGTCTGTCTAGGAAGATCTATTCAGTTACCATCACAGCAGCATGTTAACAGATGAGCCGTAGCAACACATGACGTGTTCTGTCCCGGCATGCACACATGTCCTCTGCAGGAAGTGAGAACCAGACCACAGAATCACCAGCATGTTCTTCTCATTCCTTAGACTTTAAAAAAGGAGGAGACCGGTTAATTATTAAATAGTAAAAATGAGGAGGACTTGAAGCACTTGCTGTAGCAGCTCAAACGACGTAGCCTTCAATATGGCTCAGATCTCAACATCAAGAAAACAAAAATTCTCAAAAAAAAAGAAAACAAAAATTCTCACCACTGAACCGATAGGCAACACCATGATAGATGAAGAAAAGGCTAAAACTGTCATCAACTTTGTTTTACTTGGATCCACGATCAATACACATGGTACCAGCACTCAGGAGATCAGGAGACACCTTGCACTGGGAGAGGCTGGAGTCAGGGACCTCTCCAAATTACTGAGAAGCAATGATGCCAGTGCTGAGCTTCATCTCACATACTCTGGGCATGAAGCAAGGAAAGGCTATTCATTGGAGAAGGACATCACACTTGGAAAGATGGAGGGACGGCAAAAGAGAGGAAGACCCTCAAGCAGGTGGACTGACACAAAGACTGGGGCAATGGGTTTGAGTTGTGTCCGAGATCGTAAAGTAGGCACAAGATAGGACAGGGCTCAGATCTTTTGTTCACAACAGATCACCGTGCTCGACTTGACGGTACCTACAGTTCACAGGAGTTCACTTTAAATCACCTGACTTGCCCAGAAGAGAACACAAATGGAAAATCCAGCTTTAGCTTCTTTAGAGAAGCAGCCCCTGTATAGTGGGGTGGACTGGGGGGGGGGGGCGGGGTTCCGAGCATAACAATGAAAGAGTTTTTCTTTTTCTTTACAAGTAAAAGAGTTAATTGGGGGGAGGGGGTGGGCAGGGAGAAAAGTGCAACAATGAATGACTGGAAACCCTAAGTCTCTGTAAACGTTCATTAAAATTAATTTTAAAAAGTTAAAAAAATAAAGAGAGAAGCAGCCCCACTGATGTGTCAGCGAATCAGAACATGCGCTCTGCTGGCTTAGCTTGGGCTGGAAGCAGGGGAGTCGCCGCATGTACAAGAGCTGCAGGGACCTCTGCCCTAGAAGGGCTTCCACACAGAAGGTGGGGAGAGGAAATATATCCATACTACTGCGTCACCTGCGATGCCAATGTCTATGGGGATAGGTGGTGGGTGGGGCTGGCAAGGAGGGCTGCAGGAGGGGCGGAGACAGGGTCAGAAAGGATGAATGGGGGCACTGACCTCTGGGAGTCTAAAGGAAAGGGAAGAAGCCAGGAGAGAAGGCAGCAGAAACAGTGCCCCAGGCAGGGGAAGGACTCTGTGGTAAGTCAGGTCCCCAGGAGCTTTCAGAGATGTGCGTGCCACAGAACTGGTGTGCTGGAGTGTGACCACAAGGTGGTCATCTACATCCAGGTGGGCTTTGTTCTCATCTAACACATCAGTGTATGCTCTCTTGTCCCTGTGCACCTTCTGCATGTCATAGGCACCTTGTGTATTCAAGATTTACATACAGTTTCGCAGACACGTGTGCACACAGATACGTGAACACATGCCTAGTATGTGCACATCCTTCTCTGGACGGGAACCATGGACAACTGGGTAAACGGGAGCTGCCTCTGGGTTAACTCAGCTGTTCACACGGGCTGGACTTGAGACGTACAGTCTGCCCAAGGCCCTAGCTCTGAGTCAAGTCTTTCTCATTCCTGATGTCTGGGAACTGTCCACAGCTGTTCTCTGCAGACACCCACAGCTGTCTTCTTAGCAGAGTTGTGGTGGATTTGAGGTTTTTGGTTTCCCCCCCACCCACCCACCCAAACTGCTAAGGCTTCTCAAGAATCCAGGAGGAAAACCGAGACTTCTTGATCGGTGGAGAGAAAGAAGGCAATTGAGGATAATGACGGCAGTAAGGACCTTGGGCACCGACTACGGAGAAGGAGCCAGATGCTTCATAAGCAAGTGTGAATCCATTCTGTACAGCATCCTCTCAGGCTGGGAGGCTGCTATTGTCAGTTGCTGCTGAATCAATTGGCACTCGCAGATCCCATGTGTGCAGAATAGAACTGGTCCTTAGGGGTTTTAAGAGGGTGACCTTTCAGAAGCAGGTCACCAAAACTGTCTTTTGATATGCCTCTAGGTGGACTCAAACTGCAAACCTTTTGGCTAGGAGTCAAGTACTTAAGCAAATGTACCACCTGGGAGCATATACTCAATCCCCTTTTCAACGGTGCAATATGCTCATAAAGGCTAAGCAACATTAAGCCCTGGCCTTGAGATTTGAGCCCTGAGGTACCTGGCCCCGAGCCCATATTCTTAGTCTCTATAGGAATGTGGGGATTTGGCAGCTGCAGTGAAACTGAAGAAAAGGACAGTTTTCACAGGAGGAAAAAAAAAGGAAACTTGGGACAGTCGTAACCAGAGGAGTCTGCGTGTCTCTAAGGTTGACTGCGCTGCTCCCCTTCCTCATTGTCTCACTCTGTGAACTTGAACCCAGAGCACCTGCTGGTTAGAAATATGCAGTCAGGTGCTCGCTAAGCCCATCAACAATCGGGCCACTATCAGTGTTAGATGCGAATAACCATGGGCTTTGATGGCGACACCCACACTAGACTAGACAAGGATCCTCCTCAAAGACACTACCTCCTCCCCCTCCGTCTCATTCCCCACTTAAAAACAGACTCATTCTCCTTGTGCAACAAAGGCAATGACCGTGGAAATGAGATACATCCTCTTCTTCACACACCAAATCTCGTGCAAAGGGGAGCCCACTTCTGGCTACCCAATCACTCCTACCAAGACGACTATTTTGCCTTTTAAAAAAAAAAATTAATTGTGTGTGTGTATGTGTGTGTGTGTGTGTACAGTCAAATAGGATCTGACTGCTATAGGAGGAGATTGCCCCTCCTTCTCCAGCGGAGCATCTGGTGGATTTGAACCACGCACCTCTGGGATTGTAGTGCAGCTTCTTTATTTTTGCCTTTCCATAAACACAGCCACTACTTGTCACAGTTTTATAAATTTGCTGAGTTTGTGTACTTCTTGCTTCTGATCTGCCAATTCACATCGATTCATTCACATTCCCCCCTCCCGAGAAAACTTACTAAAGTTTCTAACTATAGAGTTTAGAAATTTGTAGAATTTTAAATAAAACATAACTTACCTGAGAACCCAAAGAGCTTAGATGATCTAACAGATTCACCCAACATAAAGGAAAAATTTATTTGTGTTTGAATTAAGGAACGATGAAAAGGTCTCTGTTTCACTTTGTCTTAATTTGGATTGGACATTGGGCATCGATCAGGGAGCCATTTAAGCCTCAGTTCCCAAATCTGTAAAGTGGGGGCTCACAAGTTAAGTAAGAGGAGAAGGCATGCTAAGAACCCAGCCTGATAAATAGTAGGTGCATAATACATGCTCATTGTCTTCCTAGTTCCATCAAGAAAACAAAATGTGTGTGTGTGGGGGGGAACATTGCACATGGAAAGCCACAAATAACAAGGAAAAAGCTGTCACCAAGTCAAATGAGGCTTATAATGACCTCATGCATATCAGAGCAGAAAGTCAGGCTATAGGTTTTCAATGGCTGGTTTTTTCAGAAGTCAACTGCACAATCTTGCTTCTGAGGTGGCTCTGTGTGGGCTCGAACCTCCAACCTTTACATGAGAAGCTAGGTATGGTAACTGTTTGCACTACCCAGGGATTCTATAAAGTGACATAGACCCCTCAAAATCAGGTTGCTAACTTCACTAGGTCATGTAACTACCACTGAGATTTTATAAAGATGATAAGAAAGCTAAATGTTTGAGCACTCATGATGTCTAATGGACACTAAAAACAAACAAATAAAACAAGAGGCTCACTGGCAAACTGGACACTAGTTTATTGGAGCCACTGGTGGTTTTGAACCACTGATCTTTCAGTTAGCAGAGGACTGCAGCTCCTTCTGAGAACGCTACCATGTGAAAATAAGTTAAGGGAGAAAAGAACTCCCGGAGGTGAACCTCCCACTACATGTTAAAGAGCTGATGACACTTACAGGTGAGTCAGGTCCCGGAGGCCTCGGAAGGCATTTCTTGAAATGGTTTCGATTCTGTTCCCTTCAATGAACCTAAGGAGAAAAGTCATATAATGAAACTGCACTGTCTCTGCTCAGTGTCTCTCAAAGCATAATGCCAGCCTGCTTTCTGCACAGTTATCATGAATTTAATAAGATATTCATTTCTAGAAAACAGATCAGCAACACCAGAGTCCAAGTGGGAGCAGGGGGTATGCAAGAAGCTGATCCCACCCTCCCTCCAGAGACGGTGTGGAAGTGTTCAAATCTAGATTTGGCTGGACGGGTGAGTAAGGGGAAAAGCAAGCACTACAGGAAGGCAAGGAATTCTCCTTTCTCTGCAATACTGGATCGTTTCCAGACACTTTCCTATTCAAACCCTCTTGGGTTTCACCATGTCTGGCTATTAATACTTTGGTTAATAGCATTGTCCCTCAAGGGGAGCTCACAGTTTTACATCTCCAGAGTCAAGATCTTTCTGAGGGAGAGTGCTTGTAAGCCTGGCTTCCAGCAAAGTTGCATTCACTCCATCCCACCCAGCCTAATCTTCGAGCATATGGGTGACAAAGCAGGAATGCTCCCAAGATCCCGATGCCACCAGGAAGCGAGGAGGGCAATGAAGTTGAATGTGGGCCAAACCCCTTTCTCTGTGCAGGGTGCTAGCATTTGAGCATGAAACTTTGCCAACAACTTGGGACATGTTTCAAAGTCTTTGTGGCAATAAGAAGTAATAACGCACTGTGACAATTCTTGGGACCAGAGAGAATAAAGTAGTAGCTTTTACAATGCAAAAATTTTCTACTGATATGCAGCCTGAGGAACCCTGCCTCTGGAGAAATTTAGTTTGAAATACGGCAACTGCAAAAGTCTGATGAAATGGAGGGGGGGGGGTATCTTTGATGAAGTGGTCCAAGGGAGAGGGCCTGTGATATGATACAATTGATTGGAGGAAAAGGGCTGATGCTTAGTTTTAAAAACTAGGGGATCAAGGAGCTCTGGTGGCCTAGTGGCAAGAAGCTGCACTGCAATCCCAGAGGTACACAGTTCAAATCCACCAAATGTTCTGCTGGAGAAGGAGGGGCAATCTCCTCCTGTACCAGTCAGATCTGAATTGATGATACACACACACAAAAATAATTAAAAAAATTTTTTTTAAAAATCAGAGGATCAAAAACATAGACCAATTCTTCTAAAAAAAACTAAGATACACTGAATTTATTCAACCTTCCTTTTCCAAAGTGTCCTTTTAAGACTACCATAAGCTTACTACCTGAACAACTAAAGAGCATGGATGTCAGTTTAAAAACTAAGGTGCACCTGATCCAAGCCATGGTTTTTTCAATTACTCACTGTGCATCTGAAAGTTGGACGACAACTAATGATCACAGATGAGGAAACAAAGTCTTTGAGTATGGAGTACTGCATACCTCATGGACTGGCAAGTAAACAAACAGGTATGTCCTGGAGAAAGTGAAATCAGGATGCTCCTTAGAAGCAAAGAGGGTGAAATTCTGTCTCACATACTTTGGGTATGTTGTAAAGAGGGCTGGGTCAGCCATTGGAGAAGGATATCATGCTTGGAAACGCAGAGGGTCAGCATAAGAGAGGAAGATCTTCAACGAGATGGACTGAACCGGTGCCTAACAGTGAGCCCAGGTGTGTCGGAAATGATGAGGACGGCGTGGACCAGGGCAAGGTTCAGAGTTACTGTCTGTAAGATCACGAAACACAGCTGACCTGACGGCACTAACAACAATATACTTCCCAATGAGCCTTCCAAGTTGCTGTTGTCAGTCTGATCCCATTAAGTGGTAGGTTGCTAATAAAACGACCAGTGGTTCAAATCCACCAGCTAGTCTACAGCAGGAGGATGGGCAGCCTACTCCTGTTAGAACTGACAGTCTCAGCAACTCAATGGAGGGTCACCACAAGCTGGAATCAATGGCAAGACAGGAAGTTTAGTTTTGGGGTTTTTTATATATAGTTGTTTTAGAAAGTACAATGCTCAAGGCAAATACTTATGAGTTGGTTCCCACTGCACTGTAACTAGCAACTGGGTGTCTGAGGCTGTCAATGTTATTGTGAGGAAATAGTGGCTGGTGGATTTGAACGACCAACCTTTTGGTTAGCAGCCCAACACATCAAAGCAAATGTTGTTGTTGTTGTTGTTGTTGTTGTTGTGTACCACAGAGTCAGAACTGACCCAGAGCTGACCCTCCAGAGGGTTGTTCAAGGTAGTTAATCGCACAGGAGGAGACTGCCCATCCTTCTCCCACATCAAGGTAGATAGGTTTTACTAATAAAATGAAACTATTGTTTGATTTAAAAGACTTCAAGGGAGATCTTTTAGTTTAATATCTTGGAGAAGGTGAAACCAAGTTTCTCCTTCGAAGCTAGGATTTTGAAGTTCCGTTTCACATACTCTGGGCACAGTGGCCAGGAGGGACCAGCCCTTGGAGAAGGACATTATGCTCAGATAGGTGGAGGGACACTGCAGGGAGGAAGACCCTGGATGAGATGGATTGATACAGTAACTGGGGCCATGGGGGTTTTTGTGTTGGAATTAGTGAGACTGGCTCAGGACAGGGCAGGCTTCAGAGTTTCTTGACACAGGGGCGCAACTCGATAGCATGCAACAACAACAATTTAAAGATTATTTTGAGCAAGTGTTTCAGAATTTTATCCAGGCTTTGGGCCTGCTGCCAGGAGGGGCCAGTACTGGGGGAAAAAAAGACATCATGCGGGGAAAGGTGGAAGGTCAGAGAAAGCAAAGAAGGCCGTGAACAAGATGGATTAACCCAATGGCATGTCAGCGGCCGGGCATCTTAGAGATGGTGAGGACTGTACAGGATACAGCGAGGTTCAGATGCGCTGTTGCTCAGGGGGTTTCTACGAGTTACAGTTCACTCGGTGGCATCTAACCACCATCCTGTTTTAATAGCTCTAAAAATCTAGGTTCTATAAGCGTTTTCTATTCTGCTCTGCATTTCACTGCCTTTGAAGAGGATCCTTCTAGACAATCTTCCATCACAATTTTAAGTAACTGTAACCAGGCACTCTTCAGTGCTGGTCTCACAGCAAAGGAAGTAGTTATCCATGGAAACCAAAGCCATACTATTCACTTACTAATTCCTATTGATCACCCTCTTTCTTCCTCTGTTGTTGAATTGGTGTATATTTTATTCCATTGTCAAAAACAACAATATAAATAAACTGTTGTTATTGATTGCCCTTGAGTCGAGCACAACTCATAGGGACCCTATGAACAAAAGGCCTGAAACTCCCCTATAACTATCGACATTTATCAAAGTTCATAGGGTTTCCAGGGGCATGCTGTATAAGAAGTGGATGCTACTTCTGCAAAAAACCCACCCAAACAACTGGAGGGCTCATCAATAATGGTTTTCAGCATTAAACAGCTAGCCTCTTATTTCCAATGTCCTCTCCAGTATAATTGATAGTAAAATGACCTGTCCTTAAGAGAAAAAGAGATGGTTTTACATCTGTTACCTCCACCTGCTGTTTACATGCTCAGAGAAACTCACTGGACTCAGCACTTCAGTCCTCACATCCTTTCCATGTTATGCATACTATGGAGAAAGAGTTTCTCCAGAGGCATCAATCCTCAAGACAGAAAGGCAGCAGAGAGCTTTCCTGTGTCCAGGCTGTGCTGAGTGAGAAGTCAGACATTAACCTATTGACCTCCAATAAGAAGCAGAGAAGAAGTTCTGAGAAATGCTTCAGAATACTAAGGAAATACAATCTGATAGTGGGATTACTATTATTACAAAATCCATAAAGAGAATGACAGGCGAATTTAAGGGAGGCAGGAGAATGACCAAAAGCAGGAATCAAGAATAAGGTAGAGCATTTGTTTTGTGCTAAGGAGGAAACTATAAATTTTAAAAAAGGACAAACTGGGCGGGGGGAGTGGCAGGGAGAAAAGTGTAACAATGAATGGAAATCCAAAATTTCTGTAAATGTTCATTAAAATTAATAAAACTAATTTTTTTTAAAAGGGGGGAATACATCTTTTGTAAAAGGAGAAAAGACAATCAAGTGAGATTGGCATCAGCTCAGGAGAGGTAATGCCGACCAGATGAAGGGCAGCTGAATTCAAGACCCTAGGGTTGTGCTTTTATGTAGAAAATGGGGAGGTTTCATAGAAAAATAAGTAACTCTCAGAACTCTTTGGCTCTATTTCTGACTGATCAGCAAATCTTTGCTTGGTTATGAAAGGTAAAAATATCCAACTCACTTTCCAATTGTGCTTACTACATGGCAAATGAAATGTCAGCTGAGAATGAATGCATCTTTCTTTCTTTGTTTCCATCCCCCACCGCCCTCCGCTGCCTTTGTCTCCAGCCTCCTCCTGCCCTATGTTCAGAAGCAAGACAATTTGGAAAGGGTAATCCTGGGGAGGAAGGGTGCTCCCCACCTCTCCCACCACGAGCCTCTCCCCAGGGTAGTCCCAGATGAAAGGTAACCCAGCACTTGTACCGAAACATCGCGTGCTCAGCAAATGGGCAAAACACAAAACTTACAGGTATTCGAGATGGAAAAGCCCAGCGAAAGCATCATCCCGGATGACTGTGAATGAGTTAGAATTCAACAACCTGAAAATAAAAGGCAGATTTCAGTACAAAGACATAAAATTTAATTGTGTAGGGAAATCACATATTTATGTGTCTTTTGCTATTTTCTGATGTGTGGGCCAATCAAAATCAGGCTCTTCTCGTACCTATGAAAGGTCTAAGAAAGAGGTACCCAGATGAGCGGATCCTTTTTGATCAATTTTTAGGTGACTCTATCCTTAATCTCCTAATGAGAACTCTGGTAGCCTAATGGGTGGGGAGTTCTGCTGTTAACTCAAAGGTGGCCCCTCTGATGGTTTGTGGAAATTTGTTTTGGTATTGCACTGCCTATTTTCATTTCAATGTGGGTCGTTATTACTGTTGATGTGTACCTGCAAGTCGGAACCGACCCATAACTGACCCTCCAGCAGGTTTTTAGAGGCCATAAACCACGCGGGAAGAGAATGCCCATCTTTCTACTGCCGAGCAGCTGGTGAATTTGAGCCGCGTGCCTTTGGGTTGGCAGTGCAGCTCCTTACCACGAGGCCAATGCAGTAGTTAGGAGACCATTACCAATACAGTGAATAACGCATGGACTTGGGACTTTGCCTATCACTGATTTGCTCTTGGAAACGGCTTTTTGGACATTTCTTTTCATCATCACACCTTAACTGACCTGCGTCAGTAGATGTGGCCATTGGACATTTCTTGCTGAGAGGTGGTGGGCCACAGACCGGCTAAGACATGAGTTTAGTCTCTGGATTGGAATCCTGGCTCGGTGATCTGGAGCCAATGATTTAACTTCCCTGAGTCTCAGTCTGCTCATCTGTCATATGGACAGACATATGAATACCCTCCTGTCCTATTAGCGACAAGAGGATGTTTGAATTAAACATAAACAGAGGATGTTGTTTGATAATCCAATAGACCAAACGTACTATGATAATTCAGCACAGCGTTTAGAGCATTAAGAATATTCCTGTACCCAGATTAACATTAACACATAGCAAGGCACGTTTTCTAGCCCAGATATACCCTTGTATGCTTTCACTCCCTCTCTTGTGTCTGTGACTGTCACAAGAGAAGTTTCCTCTGCCTCAGAACTCGCTCGTCAGCCCAGGCCTCAGAAGGAACATGTGTGTACAGCAGAAATGCCCCACGTATCCCTAGACCAGCAGTGCAAAGCAGAGGTACCCCACTAAGACCACCCTACAGCAGCCATCCCACGCAGCACTCTTCAATAAACCCAAGTTCAATGTCATCACGTTAGAACTGATTCCTAGCTGGTCAGCTGTGGGTCCACTGGGTTTTCAAGGCTGGAAATTGCATGGGATGAGGTTGCCCACCTTTTCCCCCATGGAACAGCTGGTGGATTTGAACTCCCAGAGAGGTGTCACCTTAGCAGCACAATTCTCTACAAATCACAAGCTCTGTGAACAAACTATTGATGCATTAAAAACAATCTAGGCTTACAAACCACCTGATTTAGATCATGTTGTTTGTTGTTGTTATGTGCCGTCGAGTTGCTTGCAACTCATAGCGACCCTAAGTACAACAGCCCTAAACTCTGCTCTGTCCTGTGCCAATCGCACTGTCTCCAACACACTCATCCCAATTACCCCAGTCACTCAATCAATCCACCTCATAGAGGGTCTTCCCCTCCTGCGCTGTCCCTCCACCCTCCCAAGCATGATGTCCTTCTCCAAGGACCGGTCTCTCCTCACAACATGTCCAAAGTATGTTAGACGGAGCCTCAGAATCCTTGCCTCCAAGGAGCCACCTGGTTTAACCTTTTCCAGGATGAATCTGTTTGTTTTCCTAGCAGTCCAGGGTACTCTCAATACTCTTAGCCATCACCACAGCTCAAAGGCATCAATTGTCCTTCTATCCTCCTTGGTCATTGTCCAACTCTCTGATGCATAACAAGTGATTACAAAGACTGTGGCCCGTATCAGACACACCTTAGTCTCCAGAGAGACACCATTGCTCTTCAGTACTTTGGAGAGGTCCCTATCATAGTGGGAGAAAAATGTGGGAAAATTAAAAACAAGTTTGTTTGGTTGTTTGTTTTTTTTAAAAGGGGGTCATACTGGTCTAACAGAGACTGGTAACCCTGGAGACTGTGGCCTTTAGATATTCTTTAAGCCAAGAACTAAACTAGGGAAACTGCATTTCAATTAAGTAATTGTTGTTGCTATAGACCATCAAGTAAAAATCCATGCATAGCTGACCCTCCAGAGAGTTTTCAGGGGCAGTACATCCTACAAGAAGAGGTTGCCTTTTTATTTGATGGATAATTTTGCTGGGTACAGTATTCTTGGTTGACAGTTGGGTTCTTTGAGTGTTTGATATATGTTCCTCCACTCTCTCCTTGCCTGCATGGTTTCTGTTGAGAGACTGGGACTTAATCGGATCTGCTCTCTCTCATAGGTTACTCTTTGTTTCTCCCTTGCTGCTTTCAGAATTCTCTCCTTATCTTTGGTTCTGGCAAATTTGACTATGATATGCCTTGGTGTTTTTCTTTTGGGGTCTATTGTACATGGTGTTCACTCAGCTTCTTGAATATATAGTCACTGTTTAGGAGGAATATATGATTAGGTATTATTGTCATGACAAGAATCTAGAATGAAACGTGCATAATGGAATGGACTAGGGGGAGTGGGAATTGAATAACAATTAAAGAATTTTATTATTTTTTTTTTACTTGTCAAAGAGAAAAGCGAACTCGGGGGGGTGGGGTGCACAGAGAGGAAAGTGTGTAACAATGAAAGAAGAGATTGCCTATCGTCCCACAGAGTATCTGGTGAATTTGAACTGTATACCTAAGGGTGACAACTCCTTACATCTTAAGTCAAAGCTTTCCCAGTCAAACAATAGTTACCTTTACCCTCTCTCTCTCCCTCTGTGCTAGAGTCTGAACTGAATCACAGCTGACCCTCCAATGGGCTTCTACTTGGAAAATGCAAAACTCAACTCACTGCTGTCGAGTCAGAACTGACTCACAGCTGGCCCTCCATTGGGTTTCTATTTGGCAAACTTAAAACTCAATTCATCTCATTGATGTGGAGTCAGACCTGACTCACAGCTGACCCTCCACTGGGCTTCCAAGGCTGAAGATCACACAGGGAGAGATTGTCCTTATTTATCCCACAGAGCCGCTGATGGATTTGGGCTGCCAGAGATGCAAAGCCGTTTAGTTAGCAGCACAACCCACTGGGACCACACCACCAAGACGCCCCTAGATAGCCTGTCAGCCAACAATAACATCCCTGAGAAGCTATTCAAAACTAGAGAGGAAGACACTCTCCCCCACCCCCAAGATGTATCCAAGGGGCTCAAGGGTGTCAGAGATTGTGAGGATGACACAGGACAGGCTTTAGAACTATTGTGTCTAGGGTCACTATGAGTCGTACTTGGCTCAACAGCACCTAACAACAACAGCAAAGTGGGTAAGGAGCCGCACTGCTAACCTAAAGTCAGGTAGTTCAAATCCACCTGCTCTGCAGGAGAACTTCCTCCCATGCAATTTACAGCCTCTGAAAGTCGGCCGGAGAATCAGCTGTGAGATGGTTCTGACCCAACAGCATTGAGCAAGGGTCAGCAATAGGAGATCTAAAGAGCAGCATTGCCCCCCCCCAAAGTTCAGAAGGCAGGAAGGGGCAAGCAAGAAGGACGGATGGAAACAGGGGAGCCCAGGGCATGAAAAGTGGTGTTACCTTGAAGGGATTGAAACAAATGTCCCCAAACAAAATGAATATAAATTGTTGAACCGAAAGTGCACTTGTGCTGTAACCTTTCACTCAACCCACCAAAAATAAGTAAGTAAACAGACCTGTTGTTGTTGTTATATACACCATCAAATCAGAACCATTCATAGGTGACCATAAAAAAAAATGGGTTTTTAAAGGTAGTAAATTGCATGGAGGAGCAGGTCCATCTTTCCTCCTGCAGAACAGCTGGTAGATTCGAACCATGTGCCTTTGGGTTTGCAGTGCAACTCCTAGAGTAAGTTTTCTTTCAAAAGGAGGTATTTTGGAGGAGTGGAATCTCATTTAGGCAATGTACCAATTCTAATGCAATGAAATAATCTCCCCAACTAGCAGATACAGGAATTGGGGTCTACAGGAAAGTGTTCCAGGAAATGTTTCAAACTGAAGACGGGAAACTGAGCGAGGATCCCTGGTACTTGGCATGTTGGTCACACCACAAAGTAAATCCACACGAGGAAGGAAGCGAAATTTACTTGTGAGACCCGGAGACATCAGGAAGAACTGACAGCAAAGACACTGAGGCTGCCCCCCTGCAGCACTGCACCCCAGAAACCCCATTTTCAAGAAAGCACCCACTATACTCACAGCAGCTGCAGAGAAGGCAGATGAGAAAACATTCGGTCCTTGATTTCCAAAAACGTTCCATTTACCAGGCTCCTAGGGGGCAAAGAGAAACAGAACACGGCCTCGGATTGTTGTGGGGAATGTTTTGTTTTGTTCTTTAGGAGTCCTGCCTGGTGTGTAGCCCGCCTAGGAGCACTGAGCAACTGACTGACAGGTTAGGAGGTTCAAGTTCACCTAGAGGAATCTCTGAAGGTCTGGAGATTGACTTCCAAAAGAGATGGAGCTCAGTTCTACCCCGATATACATGGAGGTGTGTGAACAGGAACGGATTTGATAGCACTGGATTTGATTTTTCTTTTCTTTTTTTAATGAGAAGGGGTGGAAAGATGGTTAGTCTTCTACCTCAGACCCTTCATCTCTTGACCATGGCCCCTAATAAGGCAACCGGCCAGGGTTTTCTCCAGGGCAGACAAGTAGAGAAGACTCGATTCATTTCCAAAGAACTAGATCAATACGAAAGCTAGTCCGGATCACAGGAACCTGTCCCATTCGTCCTGCTCCTTCTGCAGACTTTTTATCTCAGTTGGTTGAAATCAATCCCTTCGCTTCCTTCCTGGCTGAAAACGGGTAATTACTTCACCCCAGCCCACGACTCTGTTTGTGTAGACACAGCGGGAATGTTGGCCAACAAAACTCCGGGGTAAGATTAAGCATTCCCCTCGGGAGCCCATCTCTGAAAGATGCTCTGAACACTTGTGATTAAATGCACCATGAATGCCTTGGGGAAACACTCTGAGACACCTGAACTTGAACACACAGCGCAGGCAGGCGCTACATCTGCCAGACCCAATGGTCACCTGGGAGGCAAGAGGCCTCCGCTTGAATTTTGCCATCAGGGTTCCTGGCCCTTCTGGCCACAGCAGGACCTCAGGACAGGATTGCAAAATAATTGAGTGAGCAGACTAATTAAGCAGCTGTTGGTGGGAAGGATCTAAGGAGGGGAATTTTAACATTCTAACGGTGTGGGATCCTCCACATACTCCAAGTCACTCATGTTAGAAATCAAAGAGGCCAGCTTGGTCCCATGGGCCAATTTCCCGTCTTGACTTTCTATAAATGCAAGCCCAAGCCTCTTCATATTGCCTGATGTCGGGGGCAGGACATTGTAGCATGAGAGAGACCCCAGTACCACCCCCTTTCCCAGGATCCCTAGCCTCAACTGGGTGGGTAGGGCACTCTGGCCTGGGACAAGACAGAGCCCAGCGCCCCTTCCACAGCCACAAGGCAACCTGGTCATCTGGACTCCTTGAAGGCATCTCTTGGCAGGTGGGTAGAGAATGTGTGGCTTCTCCTGTCACTTCTGGAAAACGCCTACAGAACGCATCATGGGAAAAGGGGGAGAAGTCCTGGGCAACTCCGGGCCAGAAGTCAGGGTACATTCCAGCACCATCTAGGGGGCCAGGAACCCCTATAACTCCCTTCCCTCTGCACCCCAGTCTCTTCCAGGCCACCGGGGCGGTGCCTCCATGTCCAGAGGCTGCCAGACTTGACCCAGGTTCGCCCCTACCCGCAGCCTAAAAAGCCAGAAAGCAGCGGTGTGGATCATAGTCCCAGACCCAAGGGGTGGTAGGGCCTGGCCCCTGACAGTCTGTACTCTACAACAGTCAAGTTCAGCCGCTCAAATACCCCTCCCGAAACAACACCTCCTCCACACAAACACATCCTCTGTTTCTGGGCCTCTTAAACTTTAATGTGGCCCGAAGCACCTGGGGGCACAAATGCAGACTGCCACTGCCTGGCTTCCCCCTAGAGACCTTGGGTCTGCGTGGGCCCAGGAATCTGCATTGACGCAAGTTTCCCTAGACCCTTCTAGTGCAGGTGGCCCGCCGGGCCCCACTTTGAGAGTCATGGCCACCGGGACTTGCCCGGGGCGCCCCCAGACTCGGGATCACAAGCTCCCTCTAGCCTCCCCCCCCACCCCCGGCCCAAGACTCCACCCACGTCCCGCAGCGCGCGCCCACCCCGACGCACAGAAGGGGACCAGGGAGTGGGGTCAAGGGGGGGCCAGAGGGGAAGTCCCAGGCAGCGCGTGGCAGAGCGGCGCGGGGGTCGCAGGGGGTCCCACTCACAGGGAGCTGATGTCGCCCGGCACGATCCTGGGCACCCAGGACGAGCCCACGCAGATGATGGACTCCTTGGTGCAGC